AAGAGGGGAAGGGAAGCACTTGTTTCGCTCCCCCCAACATGACTTAGAGCCGAGCCCCCTCAAAGACCAGGAACAATCCTCTCCCTTGTACATTTTGTTTGTGTTTCTTGCTTCCAAGGGTCAGTGACTTGGCCCTACCATCAATAACCTCTAGCACTGAAAACTACAGCTTCCATAGTATGGTCACTTCCCAGTAATCTCTTCTATTCTCATCCACAGAAAATATTTATTAATTACTCATCTGCCCTATAATCCCAATATAGGCCACAACTATCCTGTGTCAAAGACATTTAAAAAATATATATAGTTGGCAAAGGTCAATGCACTCAAAACGTTCAACTATGAGGAAAAGTGAAAGTTCTTACAATCATGGAATCCTGAGTGGAAGAGAGTCAAAGTCCATCCGGTTTTCTTAACCATCTCTAGCCTGAGATTCCTCACAACATATCCGCCAGAGTGGCTGGTCTCATCCATTAATGAATACCTCCCAGTGAGGCACGACTCCTTAGTCGGACACCTCTCAGTATTGGAAACTTTGTCTCTCTAGCATGGGTGAATGAAGAAACACTCAGAGGTAACAAATGGAAAGGAATAAGAGACGGAAACCCTGAAAACGAATCATCTAAAGCTAGGCCTCTCTTATCCGATGCCTCAGCAGAGAACACTTTAATTGTGGTGCAGGGCATTGATAAGGCTAGAATGACCTCTTAGCACAATTCTAAAATAGATAATAGGCAGTTATGCAGGCTCTGAAGTTAGACAAACCTGTAGTTGAATTCAGGCTCTGTCACTTACTGGAAAGCTGTGTGACCTTGAGCAAGTTACATAATCTCGCTGAATTTCAGTTTCCTCATATGTTAAATGGGGATAATTATAATACTTACCTCATATGGGAATGACAGATATCAAAATAAAATCATATGTGAAAAGCACTTCCCCCAAAAACCATTGCCTTTGAGTCAATTCTGGTTCATAGTGATCATAAGGGACGGAATAGAACTCCCTATAGGGTTTCCAAGGATGTAATCTTTATAAACACACTTCCACAGAGGTCTCCCTTGGAGTGACTGGTGGGTTCAAACTGTTGACCTTTCAACAGCAGCTAAATGCTTTAACCACAGTGCCATCAGGATTCCTTGTGAAAAAGCACTTACTGTTGTTGTTAAGTGCTATTAAGTTGTTTCCAACCCATAGCGACCCTGTATAGGGTTTCTGAGGAGCAGCTGGTAAACTTAAAATGCTAACCTTGAGGTTCAAACTGACTTGGCAGTCCAGAGCATTAACCCACAGCACCACACCGGGACACCACTCAGTACACAGTAAATGTTATTGCTGTTATAAAAGATATATGAGTCTATAGAAAAAATAAGATTGTAGCCAACTGGGATTTCACTAAGAACAAGTCATGTCAAAGCAATCTCTTCTTTCTTTTATAGGGTCGTGAGCATGTTATATAAATATTGACTCTTGATTTTAATCAAACTTTAACCAATGGACTCAATAGTGAAATGTAGGTTAGAAATCACTACTGTTGGGTAGATAGGTAACTGTTTGAACTAAGTGCACCAGTTAATAGAGTGGTATTCACCTGGAGCACAAACACTCTTTAATGGAATCCCATGAGGTCCAACATTCCTATGAAAGGTTTAGAAGAATAAGAAGTCACCAGGCTGAGAAGGTGACTCATAGAAGAGTCAATCTAGGGGCAAGATGGCAGATTAGGCAGATGTGCTGAGTAAACCCTCTATAACAAGGACCCAGAAAACCAAGTGAAATCTACATAGATGGTGGTCCTGGGACCCTGAGCATCAGAGGAAGGGATAGAGAAGGGGGTTGAGTGGCAACTGGGACACGAAGCTGAGCAGAAGTGGTGAGACAGTAGACAGACAGGGGAGATGTAGGCTGCCCTGGCATGCCAGAGCCATTCTGAGCTTTTGCAGGTGGCTCTGGTAGCGTAGTGGTTATGAGTCAGGCTGCTAACCTCAAGGTCAGCAGTTGGAAACTACCAGCTGCTCCGTGGGAGAAAGATGAGGCTTTCTGCTCCAGTAAAGATTTACAGCCTCAGAAACTCTTTGCAGGGTTGCTGTGAGTTGGAACCGACTCCACCAGGATGCTCCACATTGATTGTCATGGAGTCCTGGTGTGACCTCAAGGTCGGTTTGAACCTCAAGGTCGGCAGTTCAAACTCACCAGCCGCTCTTAGGAAGCCCTATTCTGGGTAGTTATGAGTCAGACACTTAACTCACCAACACCTAACAACAACAACAACATTGATTGACACAACATTCTGGAGACACAGGACATGGTGAAAAGAATGTGGTTCTCCCTTATTCCCCACATCCTCCTAGTGGCTGGGAACATGGCCAACCCTTGCCTTCTTCTGCCTGGTGGACAATGACACCCTCTCCTTTGGAGCCCTTGCTCTGCACACACTACCACACACACACACACACACACACAGAGGCAGGCACCAGGTGAAGCACACCCTTATCTGGAGGTGTATGAATTTCTCCTATCAGATCTTTTATTGCTGTTGTTTGGTTTTGGAGATAGTAGTAATTATGCTCATATAGCTCACCCACATCTGTATCTCCTGTGGCTCCACCCGCTGGACAAGTGCCACAACCCACTCCTGTACCACCTGATCACTCATAATCAGCAGCCAACATCAGACAAATCCACCCTGAACTACCCAACAGGCAGTAAACAGAGGACTATGTACATACTTCCATTCTCTATCACATCCACCAGGAGATAGGTGGTTGAGTGCCTAAGAACACACCAACATACAACTATCAGTTAAATATAATGACAACATTCCACTTCACAGGAAAAATATCAGACTTTCTGCTCCCGAAAAGATTTTAACAGCTTCAGAAAACCCTATAAAAGATTGCTATCAAATTAGAACTGACTTGATGGCACTTAATAGCAACAAAATAAAGACACCATAATGTATCAAAGACAGATAACAGACAATTTCAGCTTATACAAAGAAACAAGACAGAGTGACTCAAACAAGTGACAAAAATACAGAGTCAGAAAATATAATACTAAAAATGACATCAAAGCTACCTGATAAGGAAATCAAAAGAAAAATATTTAAGTACCTTTAACAGATTGAGAGAAAGATAGAAAAAGCTGCAAATGAAAGCAAGGAAAACACAGAAAAACCTTTAGAAGAATTCAGGAAAATATTACCAGAACAAACTGGTAAAATAAATGAAAAATTGGAGACCACACAAAAACAGCAAATAGCAATCAGAAGATTAAAACTAAAATTTTAGAAGTAAATATTAAAGGGCAAGGAAGAACTGACTCAGTCAAAAGCTGAATTAGTGAGCTTGAAGACACAGCTCTTAGTATTTATCTGCCAGAGTAACAATCAGAAAAAAGAACAAAAAAAA